CTGCATTTAATAAATAATTCAGGAAGAGCCAAGCAAATTCAAGAAGCCTTTACACACCAGAAGCAAAAGTGGTTTGAAATGATGAGTAGCCTGGCATCAACCTTCTCAGATTCCTGATGAACCTCCAAAAGACAGTGTCCTAACTGGAAGACTGCCAAGTCTATAGGCTGATTGTCGAGATTTGTCTCTACACACTGTAGGCTTGCCTAAAGCTCCTATGCAATTTTTTTGTTGTTTTAAATTCATTTATTTGAATAGAGCATTGTATCCACAGCATGTACCATTAAAAATGGAATTTGGTACCTCTTAAAGTCAATTAAACTTTTACACTGTTACAAAAGATGGAGAGGGGAAGGAAACGTCATTTTTTCCCCCCTTTTTTTGGGTGTAGTTTCATATAAAAATGTTCTGGTAGAGATGTACTTGCTGCTTTGAGTTACAGGATACTTGTGCTCTGACAAACTCTCCAAGAGGGTAGAGCAAATGCTAACTGAAAATCATTACACATGTGGATGCCCAGTATGAGAAAAAAAGAAGACAGACAAGAAAGCAAAACACAGCAGTGGACTTTAATAAACAACTACTATTAGCATTCTGCCTTTGTTTGGTTGGTTTTGAGTTCTTTCTCTCCAGTACATTGGAGCCGATTTTTCAAAATTCAACTTGAAACTAACTGCTGTAAACAACATAACTGCCAGGTATGAGCTAACTGTTCTGTAGATGGTTAGTTGCAAGCAATTTAATAATCCCATGAATGACTTGAGGTGTGAGTCAGCAAAGATCACTAGCCCCAAGTGCTAGCAGCAAGAGAAGAATTCAATGCTTGCAAGAAAAGAGACCACATTTTAGAACTTTTGACCTATTCCTTGTTGCTCAATTAATAATGATTTCATAAATCATCATGATCTTATTACGTTCTTAAATGAAGCATCTGATGCTACCTGAAACATCTGTCATAATATAATTCTCTTCAGAGAAGACAATCCCAAACTTCAAAACCAGCAGTCATGAAGTGAAAGGATATACACTTTTCACACATTAGCATGTGTGAACAGCACATGCTAATAAAACACAGATACTAAAATATCAGAATGCCAGAATATCAGAATGTATTTATTTGTCCTTTTTTTTTTCTTTTTTTTTTTAATTCTGAAGAGCATGGTCTTACATGCAGATATTAGATCTCACTGATATATAATTAGCCATAATACAAAATAGACAAAAAACTTGTTAAAGGCACAAGACAGAATCCCATTGAGTTAATAATGTTTATTATTTTAACCTCTAGCAGGCATAAACCAGATAACACAAGCAAGGTAAAAGAGGATCAAAGCAGGGAAATTCCTAGGGAGAGATCCAGGTGACAAAAGTTGGACAATACTAGGAGGAGCTGGGCAAACCTTCTCCTTGCAAAATTTATGCCTGCATTGAATACTGAGGAAATATCATTAAAAACATAGTTTTTGTCACTGTCCCATCCACGTAAAGTTCTATGTTACCTATAAGGTTTGAAACATGCAAAAATCATGCATTCATTTTACACAAAACTCCGAATGGGCAAGACAAATGACTGTCCTCCTTTACTGTAAATCTTAAGTATTTAATTTTTGTGCAAAATATTTACAAAGAGGGCTGAGAGCAGACTGATATGTCTTAAAAGCAAACAGCAAAGTGTTATCAAGTGTTGGTATTTCTGAGGAAAACAGATTAGGAAAGCAACACCCTCTTCTCAGAGTAAGGGCAAGTTACATCAAACCTTCTTTACTGTGGCTTTTTAGTATTATTAACTTGCTGTCACTCATCCTGTTATTTTTGCATTGAAAATGCCATGTTCTGCAAAACTTTTCATTTGCACAAAAAGACAATTATAGCTTTGCTGAATCACATGCAACTGGAGCTAATAAGCATGTTCTGCCATCAAACAGTACAGCCCATGCATTTCTGTAGATCACATGCTTCCACAAGCATTCCAAACCAGAGGAACACAAAACCAGCAGTTGTTGCTAGCTTGTTTTATTTTTTAATAAGAAAAACTAGTAAAGATGGGGGCCACTGCTTCCCAAACCAAATTTGCAGGCAAAAAGATTAAAAATGAAAAGGTTTTTATAGCTTGAATCCTTTGATGGTCACAGTTAAAACACCAATCAAAAACTAAGAGCTGTAGATGATTTGAGGAACAAGGCAGTCTGCTTATGCAAGAAAGTCAGAGAAATTCCTTACAACTCATGCATAAAATGACTCTAAACTAGGCATGGTATATCTGAAAGTGACTATGATGATAAATCTGGCTAACTTGCAGCAACATGAAAAACTACCTAAAATGCATTATACAGCCACAGAAAAGATTTTTTTGTCAAAGAACACCCCTTCTATATAAGAATTAAATTCTTGTAAATAAAAGATTAGAAATCATCAAAATTAGAAATCAAAGATAGGAATTAAAACTACCCCAAACCAACACAAACAAATAAATCACTGGATTAAATAAGAGATGGATTAAAATAAGTATGAAGAACACCACCATAATTCTGTTTATGTGGAGTGTGTCACGAAGCTTAACTAAAATTACTTCTTACATGTTTTATGTAATGGGATTATTGGAATAGATAAGTTATATTAAAAGAGCAGCTAAAAAAGCACAGGTTATGGGAAATGCAAATAAAACCGCTCTTATTGGATCTCAGACTGGAAAAAAAAAGCAAAAAAAAAATGTTGTGCTTAGCTACTAAAGAGAGACCCTCAACTCTAATATTGTCTCAAAATGTTAATGGAGCTATCAATTCAATTCCAAATATTTTTATAGGTAAGAAAAAAAAAAAGGAAAAAAATCACTTTAATGCTGAAAGAATCTGAACCTTTCTTTTTTTTAAATACTCACATCCTGACAGAAGAAGTCTTGTTCTAGGTGAATTCCCAATGCTAAGTTGTATTAGGATAGATTTTCAATGTTAATCTTGAAATATAAATGTAGTCCTTACAATAAGCCCCTATGCATATGGTAGGGCTTTACAAATTTTATCAAGTCAGAATATCACTGCAGACTGAAGTAGAACTTCTCACTGGCATGCACAGTTGTAGGTATTTTTAGAAAAAGGAGGTGAAGGCAGAGGGAGGTACAGAGAAGGATTCATCTATACAAAGCTGTCTTTGATGATAAGCAAACATCTATCTTGTTGGGACATGTTAAAGATATGGATAAATTCTAGGTCACTGCTCTAGGGAGATCAAAAATTGAGCCTTACCCTATAAAAGCACACAGTATCATTCAAGTTCTGTTAGACTTGAATTTGATTCCTGTCAGTTTACCTTTTACTCTTAGAAGCTTCTTTGATGTACATGACAATCCATCAGGCAATTGGTCCTTTAGAAGCTAGAAATCCCTTCTTTGAAGCTTCAAGTGAAATAAATCAGCTGTCAAGCTTCATGAACTGTGTTTTTTCCCTAAATAGTTTTAAATGCCTGTTTAATGTCCAAACAATAAAATGTCTTTTCTTTGCTACGTTTAGGTTACAAGTAAAATGAATGTTGTCTTTGTTCTCAGTCACCTGATTTTAAATGCAAAACCGTATGTCTTGAAAGAAGTTATTGACCAAAGATAAGACACATAGCTGAGATACTGCAGATTTAGTTTAAAAATATATATACACAATATAATTTTAACAGCCAAGAAATAATATGCAGCATGCCAAAGTGTACAATGCACACCATGTCTCTCTCCAAGCTGGACACACCTGAAGAATGCATGCGGTTTTATAAATGAGTAGCAGCAGTTCAGTGATTTCACTCTCCTACTTTTAATTGTCATTGAAATTAAAGCTCCCCTCCTACCCCCTGCCAGGAGTTAGTGGAAGACTGTGACCAAATACCAGTCATCTTTGATGACAGTTTTCTGACTACCACAATGTTGTAGGGTGAGGATGAGGCAAACCTTGTGAGAGAAAACAAGCAGTTCAGACCTTCTATCCAATGACTCAGTCAGGAAAAGAAAAAATTAAACGAAGAGGAGACTTGAAATTAGACTATAATAATAGATACACTTAGAAAAGACTAAATCCGAGTTTCCTCTCTGCATTACATAGAACTTCTTAAAAAAATACCAACAAGTCCTACATTCCCTCTTGTACTGCCAAATTATTTATTTTTAGAAGCTACTACTCTTTAAGAACCATCTTACTTCCTCTCAGATGTTTTAGGAGACACATGGGGGCCATGTGGTATGTAAGACTTATGATACTGAATTTAGCCTTTCTGAAGATGGATTATAATCCAAATTTCTTACCAGTGGGGGTTAAAGCACTCTAAGTGCTGTGCTACTGTGTAAAAGCCTCACTACAACTGCAGCAATACCTTGCAGTAAAGAGTGGCTGAATTTCTGAACCCTGGAAACATTTTCAGGATTAGTCTGCTGAGGGAAGAGTATTTTGATGACATTAAAGAGGCTTATATTCAAGACAAGTTGAGCTCTTCAGTTCTGCAAATGCAGGATTTCTGTGTGTGTACAGAGACAAAACAATGAGCAGCTAGTAAATTTTACAGGCAAAAGTTAAGACAACCATATACTTAGGAATGCACAAGTTGTAATGAACATATTCTTCTTCTTAGACCTTTAAATACTTCCTGTATCTTACTAGGCACTTAGGTGGCTTTTTGCAGACTGATGTTATACCATAGAAAACTTGTATACCTTTAAGTAACCCACTGAAAATTGACTGAAACATAAAAGTAGCAGCAGAATTTAGTGGATTCACAGTTAACTCAGCTGACAAATGTACCACTGAATACTTTTTGCTACATCTGCTACAACCGAGCTATGTCATGAAGACATCGTTTTTTGACATGTATTTTTAAAGTCTTGCATGGTTTCTATTTATTGAAATTTTTCTATTTTTGTGACATGAACTATTAAAAAACAACTGTGAACTGCCCCACTTGTATTTCTGATAACATGCTCTAAGAAATCATAAAAGTGTTACTGCCAGCAAAGCAAAGACAGTACTTACCAATATTAATTTCATCATCAGTTTCAGCATCTCCAATACACTCAAACTGAAAATCTTGTAAAGACTGTGAAAACTTTTGTACTGCCATGGATAAATCTAGAAATCAAGAAAAAAACACAAATCAGAGTTACTCCACTAGAACTACACTGGAGCAAGGCATCATGCATTTCTGCATTAAGTACTTTTTCTGTTGACGAAGTTTGCCTTCTTATATCTTTTCTGGACATTAACCTCATTTTAAAATCACCATCACCATTTCAAAATGAAATACCTGAGATATCCCAGAAACCTATGAAACAGGCTGATGCAAGATTTCAAACATTAATACATGTATCACATTGACAATTAAGAACTTTTATACATCTTGAAAAACAAGAAATTAGAATAAGAAATTATTGTCTAGTGATAAATTGCATATGTAAATAGACCACTCTTTAAAATAAAGCTCATGACAGTTTTTTTTCATTACCATTATAAAAATAATTACATTCTCATTCTCATATACCACACTGTATAATGTTTTAGTGCAAGACCTTTGTAAAAAGAAATTGAAGAGAAAAAAAACAAACAAGTGCTTGCCTGGTAATCCACGGATTATGAGCACTATTTTCAGTGAATTTCACAAAGCAATCCGAACTTTATAGTGCAGAATTTCATTATAATTGTACATTAAAAAATTACAGAATATCAAGCACATAAATCTGTTCTCTTCTTTTCTTTTTTTAGAAACACTAATGGCAAATGGAGAGATGAATGTGATAACGAATGGACTTGGTCAAGACTTAAAAACACCACCACTTCAGATGAGCCCAGAAAACCAACAACACTATTCTGTGTCCTGAAGGCTCTATCTATGGAATCTATTTTGGTGATAGGAAAATTGACAATTAAGATTCTGACATCTGCTAAATCTAAGGAAAATTCATGATAAGGGTAAGTTATAAATGAAAGCAAAGACAAATTCTGTTTCAAAAGTATCACATATCTGTCTCCACCCTTGGGGATGGTGGAAAGCTGTCTGGACATGGTCCTGGGCAACCGGCTGTGTTTGTTCCAGACAGCTGGACCAGGTGACTTCCATAGGTCCCTTCCTACCCAGGCATTTTGTGATTCTGTGATTTCTTTACTCTCTGTTATCCTAAAGCCATAAATACTCATTCACTCAATGCTGGACACAAAATGAAGAGGGTTAACCTTCTTCCAGGCAGGAATAAAACCTAACATACAAATATAAAAATTAGCCTAATATCCCAAATCAACACACAAACAACTCCCATACACAAAAATCATCATTTAAATTCGAGTGATCTCCAACGGTAAGAACCACTCCACTATCCTACATAAGAATTGAAATATGATTGAAATAAAGATTTCAAACACCTCCAAACAAAACTCCAGAAAATAAGATGACTGCTTTTTTAAAATTTTAATTAAAGGTGATCCCTATCAAGCAAGAGAATCCCTTCCTGGATTTTGCACTGCCCAGAATTTACTCAATGTCTGTTCCTTTTGTATTTTTATAGCTATAGAGTACATCAGTCCAAAGAGATCCATCATCTTTAGACAATACAGACATGAACAGATTTTTTTTCTTCTATTAGTAGGGAATTCTGTATGCATATCTGATAAATAACAAAGATGTAAAGAACTGGGCAAACAAATTCTGTTTCTTTTTGATAAAGCACATGGAAAACAGGAAAGAATGGTACCCAAATTCATGCTGCACATGAAGATTATATTATTAAGTGTATTAACAAATTGAATGCTAAACAAAAAGTATTTTCCAAAAAGTATTTCCTACTGTTTGTATACATGAAAACAAAATAATCTTTACAAAATAAAGCAGTGTGTTTTATGCAAATACAGCATCTTTCATAGCTAAGCAAATGATTGTTCTACACTCATTAGAAAGATCTAAACTTGAATTTGTTCAGAGAAGTATATTTTAAGTTTAAAGGGAAGAAACAGTTTTATCATTCACTCTTTCACCAAGTTACTATACTGAATCCCAAACCCTTCTAAAAAATTGCCGTAGAGCAACTGATGCCAAAAGGAATTACATGGCCTTACTGTAATTGAATGAAAAGGTTTCTATATTGCAAGTACACTGGAATGTAAAACTTAACTCTTGCTAATAGGAATGCAGATTTATTTCCTTTGGACAATCTAATAACTGCCCATGATGAACAGCATCCCTGTGAATGTGAAAGGAAATGAGGGAGCATCGGCTCTCCTCCATCATTCTCCCACATATGCAGTGTTTGGTGGAACAAATGTCAAAGTAAAGGAAAATAAATGTTAAAAATACCAAAGGTGGAGTCTCCATTTCATACCCTGGATTATTGATATATGATGCCAATCTTTCTTTCACTGTGTCAGCAAATCAGACACAGCTTATACATTATACCCGAAGAAGGTATGTTTAACCTAGCTCAGAAATAGTGGGTATGAAGAATTAAGGAGCTTATTAGATGACTTGATAAAGTCATGCAGCAAGATACCATTTAGAGATATCTGCCTCTATATGAGGCCTTTCCTAATACCTTGTGAGTATTAGATGGCACCATAATAAGATTAAAGCTGTTCAATGTAACAAAGAATAAAGGTCAGGTGTTTCCTGTAACACTCATTTACAAGTTCTGTACAAAGTTAATCTAACCTGAAAAGATAAGAAAATATTATTCTACAGAAATTTCCAGCTGACTTGGACAGCTTCCTAAAGGCTGAAATAGGAGTTACTCTCTAAGACTCCGACACTGCAGCTGAATCACCAACATTGGACCAAGCCATGCTACTTGATTGTATTTATCACTTTCTTAGGAGCATCATCACTTTAATTGACTCTAAAATTATAAACCCAGTCACAGAAAGGAACAGCTGTGCAGTACACTTATCTTTTCTAAAAGATGCCAAGATTCAAAACTGAATTTAAATGGTTTTAAGAGCAATTGTCTTCAATCAAGAAGACAAAAAAATGAAAAGACTAGATAGAGCAGAGATCTCACCTAGTTTTACAAGATGTCATTTATCACTGTAAAAGTCTTAATTACCCAAAGTCTTAATGTCACTGAGAGTCCTCAATGCATACTGCTGCTTCCAGAAGGAAGGTAATCACCACACAAATCACCTTTTTAGAATGTGTGGCATTATTCAGAGTTGCTCTTATTCAGCAAGTACATTGTAAAGTCATGTCCCTCTTTTCATTGAATCCACATGAACTAGGACATTCACTTAGCTCAGGGCAGAAATTTTCCTTCAAGCAGAGACAACTGATCTTCTAAGTTACTATAAAAAGCTCACCAGCTTTTTCACTGGCAGTACAAGTCTATCATCCAGGGAAGGATGGCTGCTTGAAAGTCTCAATGAATGCATAAATATTGTTGCCCCTGCTCTTCTGCAGGCACTCAAATGAACTAATCTCTCTGGGTGTCAGCAGAAGAGTGAAAATGCAACCTGATAGCCCTCATTTGTCAGAGGGGCAGCTCTGTTAATATGCATTTTCTGAGAGTACTCATCTCTACCATTTATTCCCTGCATTCTCCAGTTTCCAAAGAAGGATTCAGTTCCATTTTGCAGTGAGGCACATAGTCAAGAGTAGCCATCTACACACTACATACTGCCAGTGCAAGGAGGTAATAACTGTGACAGAGTTGCCTGTTTTAGTCAAGGTTGTAGCAAGTCAGCTGGCCAGCAAGATTTTTTTTTTGGTGGAGTTGACAGAGGAGGTGCTAAAGAAGCCACGCCACAGTGACCGGAAATAATAATAGGATAACTACAACAAAGCTTAGCCACAACAAAGTAATGCAACACCACTATTGCATATGGGTACATACAATACCAACCATCAGAATCATAATGCTAATGAAAGAATAATAAAAGTCATCATCCATTCAGGAAAGTCACCGAGGAATCATGAAATGCACTACTCTATTGCACTTCTCCCTGAAGTTTTATATATTTGATTAATCTACTTAACACATATGTAAAAAAAAATGCAAAAATATACTCTGGGTTATTCTAGAAGGCAGGTTTATTTAAGACACACTTTCTTCGAAATTTCCAAAGAGAAGTATGTAATATGAACTGTAATATATTAACTTATTTTAGGTATCAGTGCCTTACAGCTGAATACAGGACAATAAAAGTATGATCCAAACCCTCTGTATTACTAGAATTGTTCTTCCACTTTCTTGTCCTGAATTTTTTAAACAGATCATAAAATAATTTCTTATACAGAGTCTTGAGGAGGAGGAGAGAACAATACATTGCAACAATGTGATGAAATGATGGATGCTGTTTCCCGAACGGTGCAAAAACAAGCGGGTGCTTTGGCATGGCACAGCCTGTCACGACAAGGACAAAGTCCTATAGATAAAGACACTTGACAAGACTTCCACAAGTTGGTAAGCACAACGAATTTTTTATTGGGCTGGGAAGGTTGTCATTTGTTTGGTTTTGCCAGTCTGGTATCTGGAAGAACAGCAGAAAGTCCAAACTTTTGACAGGGATCAATCAATCTCCAAAAGCAGAAACTTTGGAGCACTTGCAGAGGACTCACATCCCTACCCTAGCAGCAGCCTGCAAGAAAGTGTTCTCAGCAAACACATCAAAGCCAAAGTCTTTCCACTTGTTTGCTTACAAAGATGACTTCATTAGCAAATGGAGTTCCAATAACCAATGTTCTTCCTGACTGATGTCAATCATCCTGGGAAAGCTTGGTATCATTCACTGGGTTAATAAAGAAAAACAGCAGTTGAAACCTAGTGAGAAGATTAAACATGCCTAAATGAACTCCTGAGCACCAGCTGGAATGCAGTAAATGGGACTTCAAACAACAGACACTCTGGCTAATACAGTAACAGCAACATATCTGGCCATCTGACACAAAGCTAGTTATTATTCTATGGCTTCAAAGACAGCAGAAGCAAAGGGGTGATGATTGACCTAGCAGGATATTAGAGGCAATCCTTCAGTCAGCTGAATTTCAGGACAGCTGAAGACTGCAACACGTACAGTCACCTTTGGTGTTTCAAGCCTTTGGGGCAGTATGAGTCCACTACCAGATATGAATAGATGCATTGTGGTTCTCTGCTTGA